GCGGACGCGGCGCGCGCGTCGCGCGACGCGGCGCGGCGTTCACGCGCGAAGACTTTGAGATGGAGCGGCAGATCGGTGAGGGGTCGTTTGGGGTGGTGTATGAAGGGCGCGTGGTGACGAACGGGGCGAGAGGGCTGCGGAAGGGCGACGCGGTGGTGCTCAAGCGTCCAAAGCTCACGGTGGAGGGCGCGGCGGAGCTGCAGGAGATCGAGCTGTGGATGAACGATCGAGTGAATCGGGACGCGAGAGGGGCGTGCGCGGAGTTCGTGGGGTCGTATCGCGTGACGCGGGATGAGTGGATGTCGTCGCCGTCGAGCGACGTGCTGAGTAAGGAGGGCTTGTGGCTGGTGTGGCGATATCAGGGAGACCGCACGCTGGCGCAGTACTTGGCGCAGCCCGATTATCCAACCGGCCTGTCGAAGGCGCTGTTGAAACGCGAGGATGTTTACAGAGGAGACGCCGCGACGGAGTTAGAGATCACGCAGAAGGCTGTGTCTCAGCTCTTGTCGAGTCTCATGTCGCTCCACCGCGCGGGTCTGGTGCATCGCGACGTCAAACCACACAACCTCGTGCTCGCGCAATCGGCCAAGCCCGAGTTCAAGGTGATTGATCTTGGGGCGTGCGCGTGCTTCAGAACCGGTACGAACTTCACCCCGGATGAGACCATCATGGATCCAAAATACGCTCCACCGGAGGAATTTTTGATTCCCACGGAGGACGCTCCCGACTTGAAGAACATGTTCGGTCCGCTCGCTCTCGCAGCCGGAACCACGGCTTGGTTGAGTCACAAGCCGGATCGTTTCGACATGTATAGCACCGGCATCGTGTTGATGCAACTCGCAATGCCGAGCCTGCGCACGAACAGCGGACTGCAGGGATTCAACAAAAATCTCAAGAAGTACAAGTACAATCTGCTCAAGTGGCGGGACGCCAACCAAGGGTCGTTCAGCCGATCGAAGACGGCGGTGCTCGACGCCGGTGATGGTGCGGGATGGGAACTCGCGGCAGCGCTTCTCCGTCAGAGGCCCTACGACGCCGAAGGTGAAGAGGATTCGCGGGAGCGCTACAGCGCGGAGGATCGGAAGAGCGTCGCTTCTTCTCCGTCAATCCAACCGAGCTGAAAGTGCTCGCCAAGGAAGGTCGCGGGGACAACTGGGTCGCCGACACGACCGCGATGTTGTCGGACATGTTCTCTTTGGAAAAGCGAATCCAGCGTCAGCAAGCGAACATCGCCAAGCAGTCGACGACGATTCAAAAACTCAAGGATGACGGAGCAGATGCCAGGAGCATAGCCGAGCAAGAGAAAACTCTGGAGAAGATGCGCGTCGGCTTACAAGGTCTCGTTCGCGCTCTAAGTTTTAAGGACGTCGAGGCGCGCACCACGATGGTGTCCGCGGCGTCGGATCTGCAAAAGGCGGCCAAGGACAAGGGGGTCGAGCCGTCGAAGGAGTACGACGGCTTGCTCTCGGAACTCTCCACGGGGACGGCGAAGAAGCGAGTCAAGGCGATTGAACGTCAAGTTAGTCGTGTCACCGAGCAGGTGAGTCAAGTCGCGGCGCAAGGCGCGTCGGAGACCAAACGACGAGTCGAAGACGGCGTGACCAACATTCTCCGCTTTGTGCGCTCAGCTCGCGAGAGCCAGTCGGGCGATTCCGCTGACGAACAAGATCAAGAAGATGACGTCCAAGGCGAAGCCTCGGATCCGGAAAAGACGAACGACGCGTTCGTCTCTAGGGAACCGTCCATGGTCACCAAAGGGGTGTCTGAGGCGTCGACGATGCCGGCGCCTAACGGGAACTCCGCGAACGATCAAGAGGCCCTCAGGTTGCGCATGGAGGCTATTCAAAATGAGATGAACGCCGTCATCGCGGAGATGGCTGAGATGGAACAACGTCTCATGGAACAACAGAAAGAACTTCAGATTGACGAGGTCATCACTATAGAGACAACGAGCAGCAAGAAGGCGAAAGGGTCTGTCGACGGCGAGAAGAAACGTTCGACCAAGAATGGCGGTACTGTAACCGGCAAGAGGAACAGTGCAAGCGCCACGGACATTCTGGAACCCGAAGAGAGTGGAGACGCATAAATGCACCATTCGTTCATCAAGATTTGTATAACGCAAGCAGCGTACAATAGCGCGTATAGCAAAAATTGTCGATATTGAAAATACATTTTCGCGAAATTTTGAGAACGCGCTCGCGCGAAGTCGGAAGGGACGGCGGATTATACGTTTGTTTTTTAAGGCGCTGATCACCTCTACAACACCCCTGTGCTACTCACTGAATCGCGAAAATTACTTTTCCGGGATTTCGATGTCACCCGCGTCGATGCTTTCTTGCACGTCCGACGGATCCTCACCCTCCACGGTGCAGCCGACGGACTTGGCGGTTCCGAGAATTTCCTTCACGGTGCCGGCGAGGTTCTTCGCGCACGACTTCGGGCGCATGACGCGCGCGACCTCGATGATGTCGTCCAGGGAGCAGTTGCCCGTGTGCGTGATGCCCTTGACCTTCTTGCGGTCTTGGAACGGCTCCTTGAGCGCCTTGATGACTAGGGCCGAGGCAGTCGGCACGACGGAAACCTTAGCTTGGCGGTTTTGCACGGTGAGCTTCACCGTCACGCGCAAGCCCTTCCAGTCCTTGGCAGTTTCCTTCGCGATGTCTTCCCCGACCTTTTTCGGGGAAAGACCGAGCGGACCGATCTTCGGCGCGAGCGAAGACGCGGCGCCGACTTCACCGCCGGTCGCGCGCATGAAGATCTCCAAGGTGGCATTCGGGTCAAATTTCGGCGGCATCTTTCCTGCGTCGCGCACAATCACACACACACCTCCGTCAGTCGCACAGCTCGCGCGTCTCTCGAAACCTCGTCGCCCGTCATCCGCGCGTCCGCGTCCTCGCCCCCGCGCAACCCCGAAACCACACTAGGGCTTTCCGCCTCCCCCCATCACCCACGCGCGCGCGCGCGCGCGACCCCCGAACGACCCCGAGAACACGCGCGCGCGACGCGCGCGATTCCCATCGATCACCCGCGCGCGCCCGCGCGAGCGTCCGAGCTCTCGCGCGAGCACCACCGTCGTCGCGCGCGCATCGCCCGCGTCCGACCGCCCGCCATCGCGCGCGATCGCATCCCATTCCGCGCGTCGTCACCCCCCCCCTCCCCCCTTCCGCGACCGACGGGCGTCGAACACGCGCGCGCGGGCGTCGTCCGCGTCGTCCCGATCGTCACGCACCTGTCGCGGTCGAGCGCGTCGACGAGAGACCGCGCCGGGGCGCGCGCGCCGTGGGTCCTCGACGGGGCTCCGTCGTCTGGGCGAACAGTACGCACATAGTGTGGCGCGCACACCGCGATCTATGACCCATCACCGCGTGCGCCCCCGTCGAGGGCTTCGAATGACGAATGATCGGCGAAAACACTCCACTGTACGACGAACAGCGCTCATGGCGCGGCGCATCGCGCGCGTCGCCGCGCCCCGTCCCCGCGCGCGCGGGCGACGGGCGCTCGGACGCGCCGTCGAGCGCGCGGTGGAGATTTTCTGGGACGTCGATAACGTCCGCCCGCGGGCGTCGACCGTGGACGTCGTCATCGAGCGATTGATGGACGCCGGACGGGCGTTCGGACGCGTCGACGCCGTGCGGGCGTACGCGAACGCGGCGACGATCGATCGGTGCGACGTCGAGGACGCGCTAAAGGCGCGCGCTCGGACGTGGACCTTGGACGTGTGCTCGACGACGGCGGTGGATGGGGCGGATCGAAAATTGGGGGCGGATGTGGCGACGTACGCGCGCGGCGCGGACGGGGATGGATTTCGGTTCACGACGACGCGATGGGAGGTGGAGAACGAAGGTGATGCCGCGGGAGCGGCGTGGAGGGAGGTGGAGGCGATGTGGCGACGACGGGCGCGGGAGGCGCGGGAGGGGCTGCCGATGAGGGACGACGCGCGGGACGCGGTGGAGGCGATAACGAGAGGACGAACGCGCGTGGCGTTGGTGGTGACGAGCGATAACGATATGCGGGTGGCGATGGATTATGCCGCGGCGAACGGTGTGTGCGTTGTCGCGCTCGGGACGATGTCGCCGAGCGTCGGAGGGCGACGGTCGATGAAAACCAAGTCTGGTCGCGCGACCGCGAAATCGGCGGGAAGAGAGGGGATGACGAAGGAGTATTGGAACGCGCTCAAGATGGAGTGCGAACGCAGAGAGCTCTCGAGACTGAGTCTACTGCAATCGTGCGATGGTGCCTTGGTGTGGGATCCCTCGCGAGAGTTCGATGGGCACGCGGGACAAGTCGTGGGCGTTTGGCATCCGGGACGCGCGAGCATCGGTCGATGGTATTTCGCGCATTAGAGCGTGTACCGGTAGAATTAGAATTTTAGTCTAGAGCGTCAGCCTTGGTCTCATCTTTCTTCTCCTCTGCCTTGGCCTCGTCTTCGGGAGGGCGAGCCGCCGTTTTCTTTGGCTGCGGTGGTGGTTGGGTCTGCTTCGTGGCGGCGATGCGCGCGCGCGCTTCGTCGTCAGATTCCGAAGTACCAGTCTCATCAGACGGATAGTCCTCGTCGCTGTAGTCGTCTTCGTCGTCACTGTTATCTTCCGACTCCTCCGACTCCTCCGAAGCCGGATCCTCAGCCTTGGTGAGATCCGAGCGCGACGCCGCCTTGGCCTCGCGAGCGGCGACGACGGCGGCGGTGGGCTTGGAAACCTTCATCATCACCGAAGTCTTGGCGTCGATACCGATCCAGTAGTCATTCATTATGGAGATACCCAGGTTGTACATACCGCTGGGCATTCCCGTGAACTGTAACTCGAACTCCTTCGGCCCGTCACCAACCTCTATTTGTTCGATCTCTCGCGCGTCCAAACGATGCTGCGCCAACAAAGTGTTCGTCGACTGATCTTGAAGGAAAATGCGCCAACCCTCCTTGCGTTCAGCCGCACAAAACGGCAACGGTGGAAGCGCACCACCGAGCGGCCCACCCGAGCGCGCGATCTTCACATTCAGTGTCGCCGTCACGAAATCGCCCTCGATAACATCCTCATCGCCGTCGACGGCAACCTTGACGTCAAACGTTGTCACCCTCGGAATCATGCTCAGTTGGATCTCTATGTCCTTCACGGCCGCCTCGGAGAACCCACCGCTGGTCAACAATGCCTTGCGATCTTCATCCGACAACTTCATGAGCGCGTGGAGCGACTTGCACTTCTTCGCCACGCGGTTCACGTTGTCAGGGCTAAAGTGAGGAAGTTGCAACAAGCTCGCGATGCCGTCGTCGTCTCGCTTGCGCGAGGAGATTGGAACGCCCTGCGTGAAGCACTGGTAGAACTCCGTGATACTGATCTGCGGACGGGCGTACGAGTGCCCGGCGCGGTTGATCGGCGTGGTGGAGATCTTCAGCAGTTGTTCGATGAGACGCGGCACCATCGCGACAACCTTCTTCGCATCCGCCGCCAGCACGGGCGGAATGACCGACAGTTTACGAGAGGTTTGCGCCAATATCAGCATGTGCGCCTTGATGATGGACGGTTTACGCTTCATGAGTTTGTTGTCCTTCGAGTCGTACTCGGTCTTCATCTCCTTGAGGAGTTGGCTCACCGCGGCGTCTTGACCTTCGAGAAACGGCATCTCGATAAACTCGTGCGCGACGGAGACGGTTTCCGCCACCTTGGCGAGCGCGAGCACCGGCTTGAGCATGTACATGTAGTTCATCTCCGTTTGCTTCAACACGTTGTTGCCGCCGAACTTATTCATACGATGGATCGAACACATCGCGATGAAAAGCGGGAGCAAGATGCCGCCCACGACGAGGACGACGAGCATCACCGGCGCCATTCCGCCCTTGCCGAAGAGCTGCTCGGGGAGGGCGATCCCGAGCTTGGTGCTCTGCTTTCCATCCGGATGGCCGTATTTTTCAAAGTTCTCCCGAGCGGCGTCATCCGTGAGCGTCTTATACGCCGGAGCGATGGATTCGGCGAAGAACACCGCCGCCTGCGGATCCGGGTTCTTGTCCGGGTGATACTTGAGCGACAGGCGTCTGTACGCGCTCTTAATCTCCTTCGGACTCGCCCCGATTCGCAATCCCAAAATATCGTACGGATCAAACCGTTTCTCCTCCAACGGCGAGTTCGAGATGAACATCGTGAGCCCGATGAACGCGATCCATCCCACGGTGTACAACAGATTCGTCCCTCGAAACAATCCCCCGAGCCGTTTCCCCGCCGTCATCTTCCGTCCCTTCATCGCCCGCGTCTGCGCCCGTCCCCACTCACTGTCCGCATCCGCCACCTCCATCACCATCCGTCGCCGTCCATCGTTTCCGGCGTCTCCATCCGTCGTCACCTTCGTCCGTCGCGTCCCCGCGCCCGCGTCTCGCACCCGTCCCGCGACGCGCGCGATCGTCGCCGGGATCAAAAACGTTCCCAGCACGCTCGCGACGAAGATCGGGAACAGCGCCCCCTCCGCATCGGTGACGTCTTCCGTCGCGTCACCGAATCCCTGCGCGCGCGCGCGATCGCGTCGTCAGTCGTCGCGCACGCCGCGATCGCGTCGTCACGCAGCCATGGTTGGGGCGATGGCATCGAATCATTCTCGCGCTCGCGCCACGCCGCGCGCCCGTCGACGCCGCGAACGCGTCGCCGGGGACGTCGAGACGCGTCGCGCGCGCGCGATGCCGTCGAGACGCGGTCGATCGCGACGCGAGACGCACCATGACGCGGTGCGCAGTGCGGATCGCGCGATGTGAGGTGACGGTCAGGTGACACGATGAAATCCATCGCGCGCGTTCGTGACGCTATTTACCGACGCAAAAGTCGCGAAAGACGACGTCGAGGACGTCCTCGACGTCGTACGAACCGGTGACGCGGGCGAGGGCGCGCGCGGCGAGGCGGAAGTCCTCGGCGCGGAGCTCGAGCGGGACGGGCGCGCGGCGCGCGGCGCGCTCGAGCGCGGCGACGCACGACGTGAGATTCACCCGGTGGCGCGAACGGGTCACGGCGAGCGCGTCGTCGTCGTCGCCCTCGACGGAGGTGCGCTCGCACTTTCGAGCGACGACGCGGGCGAGGGTGGCGATGAAATCGTCGACGCCGCGCCCGTCGCGCGCGCTCACGACGCGGGCGTCGCCGCCGCGACGGGTGATGTCGTCGACGCGCGCGTCGAGCTCGCGCGCGCGCGCGGCGTCGATGACGTCTGATTTGTTCCAGACGGTGATGACGTCTTTACCCGTGACGTCCACGGTGGACAAGGCGTCGCGCGCGGCGTCGCTCGAGGCGTCGCTCGAGGCGTCGGCGAGCGCGACGAGCACGTCCGCGTCCCGCGCGCGCTCGAGCGCTCGAGCGACGCCCATCTTCTCCACGTCATCGTCCGTCTCGCGAATCCCCGCGGTGTCGCTCACGATGACTTTGTACCCGTTCAACTCCAAGGAGATTTCCAAGACGTCTCGCGTGGTGCCCGCGCGCGGAGACACGATGGCGGCGTCTCGTCCCGCGAGCGCGTTCAGCATCGAGCTCTTCCCCACGTTCGGCGCGCCGACGATGGCCACGCGCACGCCTCGACGAATCATCTCTCCTCGCGCCGGGGCGTCGAGATGTTTCCGTAACGTCTCTCGCAGCGCCGTCGCCCGCGTCAGGACGTCCCGCTCGACGACGTCGCCCGAAACGTCCTCCTCCTCCCCGAAATCGATCACCGCCTCGCAGTGCGCCGCGCACGTCATCAACTCATCTCTCCACCGCTCGTACATCGCTCGCTGTGTCCCGTTCGCGGTCAATCGCATCGCCTGTCGCCGCTGCGCCTCCGTCTCGGCGTCTAATAAATCCGCCAAGCCCTCCGCCGCGGTCAAATCCATCTTCCCGTTCAGAAACGCTCGGCGCGCGAACTCCCCCGCCTCGGCGTGGCGAAACCCATCGATCGTCCCGAGCGCGTCGAGCAACGCGCGCTGCGTCGCGACGGAGCCGTGTCCGTGAAACTCCACGACGTCTTCGCCCGTGAACGACCGCGGCGCCCGCCAGGTCGCGACGAACCCCACGTCCAGCGGGGGCTCCCCCGCGCGCGCGTTCGGGTCCACGAAGGCGCGATATCGTAACCGTCCGTCGACGTCATTCGCGCGCGACGTCGAGGCCGTCGAGGACGGCGAAGACGTCTCCATCGCTCGGGCCAAGCGTAAGGCCTCGAGCGCGTTCGGCCCGCTCACGCGCGTCACGCTCACCCCGGCGCGTCCGCGCGCGGTGGCTACGGCGTAAATCGTCTCCGCCGTCGCTCTCGCGCGCGCGCTCGCCCCGACGCGCATCGCTCGAGGCGACGGCGGCGCGAATGCGTGTGACGTTTCGACTTCACTCGACTTCACGACATTTCGCGTCGCGCGCACCATGGGACGCGCGCGCGCGCGCGCGCGGGCCGCCTGGCGCGCCCTGGACGACGTCGCCGTGACGGACGTCGACGCGTCGGCCGCGCGCGCGGCGGCGGGGAAGACGAACGAGGCGTTGTTTTACATTGACGACGGCGGTGGCGGCGGCGGCGCGAAAGACGGCGTCGACGGCGTCGGGACGCGAAAGACGGCGCGCGCGCGGGCGCGGGCGCTGAAGATTGACGGGGCGCTGATAAAGGCGGCGCCGGGGAGGACGTACCCGACGCCGGTGGCGATGCGAGCGACGAAGCGGGGGCCGCCGCCGGGTCGCGCGGCGGAGGCGACGAAGACGGCGAAGACGGTGACGAAGATGGCGGCGGCGAGGAAGGCGCGGGGGGGTGGGAAGAAGAACGATGACGATGGTGATGGTGCGTTTGATGTGTGGGCGAGTAAAGCGCCGAAGGCGCGAGGGATTAACAAGGCGGCGAAGAAGTTGACGGCGCCGACGACGAACGCGAGGGCGGTGACGCACGAGCACTCGGGGTGCTCGTTTAACCCGCCGAAGGACGCGAGAGAAGACGTCGTCGCGGTGGCGCTCGCGAAGGAATTCAAGGCGAAACAGGCGAAATATCTTGACCCGGTGACGGTGCCGGTGTCGAACGCCGTCGCGGCGCGGAACATGGTGAACGAGTTGTATTTCGAGAGCGGATTCGGCGACGACGAAAGCGACGAGGAAGGCGACGGCGGGGGACGATTGAGCGTGAACCCGGCGGTGAAGAACGATAAACTGAGCAAATCGAAGCGGAACAAACTGAAGCGCCGCCAAGAGGCTGAGGCTGAGGCCGAGGCGAACCGCAAGGCGAAGCAGCTTCGCCACGAGCTCAGCAACCTAAAGGCGCTGAAAAAGGAGATCGAGACCGAGGAGGCGGAGCGCCAGGCTAAACTCGCGCGACGCAACGCAGTTCGTGCCGAGCGAAGAGCGTCGCAACCGGCGCGGTTGGGTAAGCATCGACACACCGAGCTCGACGCCGACGTGCGCTTCGCCGACGAGCTCGACGGCGGCTCGCTCCGCACGCTCAAGGGCAACGCTTCTCTTCTCCATGATCGACTCAAATCGTACGAACGTCGAGAACTGATAGAACCCAGGCGCAAGGTTGAGCGCAAGAAGGCGTCGGCGGTGATCAAATACGAACCCGGCGCTCGAGGCGAACGCGAACTCGAGCTCAACGACGAAACAACCAAGACGCGCGAGCGCATCGTCGAGCTCAAGCGCGAAATCGCCGCCCGCGAGGACGCAGACGCGTGATTTATGTTCCGATCATCTCCTTGTAACCATCGCATCATCGCGTGACTCACCGCACGCGTCCTCCGCGTCTCTCGCGACGCCACGCCCGGGGTCACATTTTGGCGGGAAACGCGACACTCGTGCGTTTTTTCAAATTTTCCGTGTCGTCGCTCGCCGCACCGCACCGCGCTCGCGCCGCGCGCCGCACCGCTCGGCGCCGCGCGCGTGGCGTCGAATCGACGAGCGAGCGAGCGCATCGCGTCGCGTCTTCGCGCGCGGCGTCCATCGCGCGCGCGACGCGTCGGCGTGGGATCGTTTTCGGTGTCGCGCGCGAGCGATGCCGAGCGACCAACGCGATCGCATTGACCCCGCGCGTGCGAACGGTTCTCGCACCGAACGCGCGCGTAAACCGCCGTCAAAGGTGTGTCGTGGTGATGTAGCGCGCGCTCGGCCGCTCGACGCGCGCGCAGGCGCGGACGCGCGCGCGTCGGGACGAAGAGCGATGCGATCGCGCGCGAAAGCGTCCCGGAGCAATTGTTTTAAACTTTTAGAGCGAGACTGACGCGTTGTGATAGTACGAACCGACCATGCGGTCGGAACAGGGCGGAGATTACGCGCGACGGCAGCGAGGGGGCGATGTCGGGGCGGCGGAACCGTCGTCGTCGTCGAGGGACTCGGACGCAGAGAACGAGGCGGCGGCGGCGAATGCGACGGAGCTCAAGCGGAAAAATTATAAGCGCGGTGACAGCGGTCATGACGCGAAGAAGCGCGCGCGAAGGATGGATACGAAGAGTGGAGTCAAGACTTCGGTTAAGTTGAGCGGTACGAAGATGGCTGGGGCGATGGCACGATCGCCGAACGGAGTAGATATCGCCGACACGCCGAGACAGCGACCGACGAACAATCAGCTCTTGTATCGCATCAACTTCAACTGGGAGCACTACGAACACGCCCTTCCAGCCTCGGTGCGAAAGGCGCTTCCAAGGTGCACGGAGGCGTGCGCGTCGGTAACGTCGGCATTCTTGCAGACACTCAAGGCGCTGGACACGGCGGAGAGCCAACGCACAAAGAATCCGCGAAACATCTTGCAGCTTTTGAGCGTCAACACGCGAAGGACCAAGGTCGTCGCTTTGAACGCGGGCACGCACAGAGTTCCCGATGAGCTGCGCCGGCATCAGTTGACCGACTCTGACGGGAACGAGTACTCTACAAACCTTGATCGTAACCGTTACGGCAGCGACAACAACTACTTGTACACGGTGACTCGTTTCAATCTCCAGGCGCTCGAGCTGTGTCCCCTCATGGCGCAGGTACAAATCATCGGCACCAAGGGCTCCGCCGACGACGTTTTGCTCGGTGCGGACAAGTCTGAGTGTAGCTGCGGAGGGAACCGCAAGATGTTGTCGAACCACTGGACAGTGCCGGCGTTTGTGCTCCCATCGCAAATGCCGACCACGATCCCCAAGTCAACGCTCGCGGCCAAGGATAGAAGCCGTAAGAAGTCTCGT